TATTTGCATATAATTAATAATAAAAAACCTACGCCCCACCTGACTTTATTTGTAGATGTGACGCTAAACAAGTATATTTTTCTTAGCCTAAACAAAGTATTAAAAAAAAGTCTTACCTAAGGATAATAAAAGCATGCATCAACCCTACTTGTTTGACCCTGGGACAGGATAGCTTTTATTTATAAAATCAATATTAATGATTACTAACTTCAACCTCAAGCCAGCCTGGCCAGCAAGTAAGAGCAAGAGTTGTTCCATGATAGTTGTACATGTGTTGTATTAGAAAACGCTCCTTAAATGAACTCTCATGCATATTCATGCTTTCATTGACGTACAACAGTTATTGAGAACAAGGGGGCCCCCAGGATGAAAAAGGGTATCACAAGTTAAGTATTGCAAGAACTTTCTTTTACATAGGAGTCTAAAATTGGAATTTTAAGTGTATACTAATTCAACAATTTCATGCTTGAAGGTTTTTATTATGTTTAATTTGGAAGCACAGTAAGGTTTAAATGTTTTTAACAAATCCAAATAAGATTTAAACCCAATATCTCTAATAATCTATCTGTAATATATAGCCCCAAAAAATGGCTTATCCAGAGGGTAATACCAGCCAGAGGTCAATATCTAAAAAAAGAATGGTTTATCCAAAGATGGAACTTACTTATTATTATTTATTTCACATTCACATAATATAGAAATCTGCACTAGAATATCAAGAAAGTTACAATTACTATGAGAGATGAAAATAAAGTGCATGTGTGTGTTGATAAAATGAATTAAAGAATTTATGGATATAAATACAACAGAAGCACAAGGAGTGTCCAGAAGACTAAAGATAGAAGAGTGAGGTTAAACAGATGGGTATCAATCAATCATTTGATCAATCTATAACGTGTATGATGCAATAATATACATTTGACCTTATATCATAAGTTCATTGAAGGTTATTGAATATCCTAATAGTATAATATAGTAAATATTAGCGAATACGCAAGTGCAAGTCTGGCTAAGAATGCACAAACAGAGTGACATTGACAATCTATGAAGAGACCTTCGTCTTGCAATGTAATCAAGTTAGATGAAGGACAGATGCATACATAGTAATGCCATCGTATATAGGGTCTGTGGTAATGCTATACTGTAGGCATAAAATTATGCTATATAATAATACTGTAGTATATTATAGTTCTAATAATTATAAATTGTAGTTGAATGGTATATATTATTCAAGAAAGGTGATTAATCAAAGGTCAATGTCAAAGAAAATGTCCTTGAAGCTTAACCCTCAAGCATAAAAGGATGTAATGGAATCACCTATCTCACCCTTAAATGCCCTGTATGAATTATTCTGGCACAGCGCAGAAACTCTATGGCACAGGTGGGCAAAGTGCCTCCCGTGGGCCGTATGCAGCCTGACAGTGATATTTTGGGCCTGGAAAAATGAATTAAAACCCTAGGTTTGCGGCCCACCAAGTAACATTGGCTGGAAAACACCTTGTTTTTTATGGCCTGGCATAGATCATATGTAAAAAGTAACATTAATTCTGAGAATAAAGTGGTGTAAAAGCAGTGCTTGGAAGTTTTTGGAAGCTCACTGGAAACACCAACGTTTGGGTACGGCCCTCGCCTTAAATCAAAATTCTCTTTGGCCCTCCGACCGATTTTTATGCCCACCCCTGCTCTATGGAGTGACAGCTCTCCTTTTTTTTTTGTATAGTTAACTCCGCCAAAGTAGGTTATGTACAGTATTCACCGCTGTCTATTTTTAGTAAGATTATGCAAAAACTAATAAATGAATTATCATAAAATTCAGTGGAATGGTACATAATATTGGAAGAAAGAGATAATTAAATTTTGGGAAACGGTTGAAGAACAAGGTAAAGGTCACAGAAATTAAATTTTTTCCCTTGAGCATAAATGAACATAATGGAATGGCTTGTCTGCGTATTGTTCAGTATTCAGGCACAGGGTGGAAAAAAAATTGAATCGCCCATCGTATACAGCCTTTGTATTTTTTCAGTATTCAGGCACCAGGTATAAAATAATGGAATCGCACATCATACACGGTCTGTGTACTGTTCGGTATTCAAGCATAGGGTGGAGGTATGCTCTCTACGGAGAGTAACTGCTCTAGTTTATAACTGTATGACCTTTAAAGATATAGGCCTAATGTCTATGTTCAGCTAATAAAATCTTTTACTTTGTATATTTAATTAAGTTATTATTAGCTTGCATTTGAAATTAGAACAAGAAACTATTTTCATCAACAATTAGCAGATGCATAAATAATACTATGTCTACATTCTTTCCTTGTCCAGATACTTAAATTGGCAGATAAATTTACGGAAGTATTTTTTGTCTCATATTGCAATTGCTAACTTAGCATTTCATACTTAACTTAGCAATAAATATAGATAATAGTAGTGGTTTTGGGTCAAATAATATGGTTGTATCTCCTAATATTCTAGTAGCACAGACAGTAGTCATATACCTTTAACTTCTTGATTAGGTTTTAAAAGTGTGTACACTTCTTTACGACTTTCCTCAGCTGTGTAGCGAGCAACAACATTGTTGATAATTTCTAGGTCAAAAAACATTACCATATCATCATATTTGCCCTGACAAACTAATTATTTTAAAATCTAACAGTATTTATTATTTTTACATTACTACTGGAGGTATTTCTCCATACTAAGTTTAATATTTTTAAAGTCCCAATATTGGAATCCATAAGTATTTTACAGAAAGTAAATGGGAAATAGGACTTATAATTTATTGAGCAACCTATTCACGTTTTGTTATTCCAACATTCTCTGCCACTAACGGTTTTAATCTGCCATGAGAGTTTATTTACCTGCATGACAGCTGGGGATGCAACGATAGACCTCTTGGTCACCCCTGAAGCAATTCTCTAACTTGAGAATCAATGCTCCAATGAAGAGCGATAAAGGCCTAGTAATTAAACAATTATTCATTCAGACTAATCAATCAGTGAGTAATTAATTGAGAAAAAAACAACTTTTAATTCATTAATTGTTGATCCAATATTCATTTCTACATTTTATTGTTTAATGTATAATCTGCTATGAATTTGTTTTCTTTCATTAAAATTGTATAAATTGTTACTAATTTAAATTCATATGATTTTAATGTAATGATTTGGGATTGTTATAAAATATGAATAATTTCTTTAGATAAATAAATTTAATAGGCTAAATATTTTATTTATTGTAGTCTGTTATAAAATATGAATAATTTTCTTCATTAAATTTTAGGATAAATATTTTAATTACTATATTCTACTAGTGATGAATCATGGTAGTATGCAGCTAGTGTATTGAGAGCAAAATGTCAACTAGTTATATTTAAGCTGGTAGTAACATTCAAGCCATGCCCGTAACCAGCTGTGGTAATGAAGGATCTTTTTCAATCTGAGTGGAACTTTTGGTGTCCAGGGGTTCTCTCGAGAAATGTTGAAAACCATGACCACCACCTTTAATTTAAAATGTTATTTTGGTGTGTTTGAGCTGCTTTCAAATGAGTTACCATTTTCGTTAATAAACATTGAATCGATGTGCAAATGTTGAAGAATCGGGCAGTAGGCTATACCAGGCAATATGTTAGTAGGCCTAGATCAAATGTAGTGCTCATCAGATAGGATCACGAATATGAATACATGACAGTTTTCCATCGTCAACGGTCAACTATTGGTATAGTAGAGCAGAGCTCCCTATTCTGCGGGGATCCTCTGATCTCCCGGTCCCCCTGGTTACAGGCCTGAAGGCCCACAAAGAGCAGCTTTAGCCTCCAAGGTTGAAGTTTAGGCAATGCCTACTGTAAGGGCACCAGTAAGATCAAATGACAGGGTGCAAATGTGGCTCCAGGGTGTAACCCAAAAAGCTACCGTTGGCGCGTATAATTGTGTTCTCACGTATAATTATAAGATAAGATAAGATAGATAAGATAAACTTTATTGTCCAAATAAAAATGGAAATTCAAGTTCCATTTGGCGTAAAAAAGCACTAAGTTACATTAAGTTACATTAAGATTTACATTGCATTAAAAATAGATACATGTGTATCCATGCATGTGGGCAGCACATGTATACATACATATACATACACACACATACATATGTATATATGTATACATACATATATACACACACACATGAAATTGTATTATCAAAAAGGAATTATCACATACATATAGGCCTACATACACATACATGCACACATACGCACATACATACATACACACATACACACATACATAATACATATATATATATACACATTTTTATATATACACACACACATACATACACACACACTGTACATACATATACATACATATATACATACATACCCACATAGGCCTACATATATATATATATATATATATATAAAAGTCAAAAAGGAATAATAATAATAGTGATGCCTACATCATTTAGATAGGCCTATACTTGTTCTTATTGCACATTGATTAAAAAGTTGAATTTAAAATAGCAAATTACGATTGAAAAATTGGGGGCCGTCTTATACACGCATTACATACAAATTTTGATTTTTTTTTTTAAATCATGTTCGTCTTATGTGTAGATTTTCTGTAACACAAAAATTTACTACTGAAATGAACCTACTAACTGTTGTATGAATCAACACAGTAGTATCAAGACTGTAAACAGCAGCAAAGAGTAGGTATTCCAACAGTGAAACAGGGGGATCGTCTTATATACTCAACATACAAAAATCGTTCAAAGATCTTCTCAAACTCAGGGGTTATCTTATATGCGAATCATTTTATTTTATGCAAGAATAATATACAGTATGCCCTTTTAGGTATTTGGATGGTTTTTTTTAATTTTTTTTATTAATTACATGTCCAAAATTGATATTTCAACAATCAATTTATATACATATACAGAGGGCTCTTGAAATATTATTTTTTAAAATACATGTTAAATTATGTTAAATGATAATAATTAAGCAACTTACAGTTAGGTTGAATCCTCTTCCTCACCCTTGATGTACACATTCGGTCTTCGCTGGACACAACTGTCCACATAATGGTAACAATATAGTCCACAAAAACATCAAGTTTTTTTTGCAAGCAGATTATAATGTCTGCTAAAACTCAGTCGATATTTCAAACAAAATATGCGTGTGCAAACAGGAATTTTTTATAGGTCCAAGTAATACACGTGTGTTTCAGTTTAATTTCTGGTGGCTAATTTGTGAAGCTTATAATATCTCAGAGAATATTGTGAAAACAAGTCATTCTGTTAATCTAGAAGTCCACGTTCCTTTTGCGAGTTTTTATTTTTGGCAAAAAAAGATACACGGTCAGAATTAAACAGAAGTTAATGCGGGTGACGGTGTAGGAATTCTTGCAGAACAAACAAAATAAATGGTCAGGTAGGCTACAAAATCAAAGCGTTATAATAAACGAAAGTCATCCAAAGCTTTTTTTTTTTTCGCTCGAACCGCGTATTATTTGTCCATAAAAATGTAGTCGCTATTTGATATCCTGTAGTCATATTCGTATTCGTGATAAGACTTTCGATACGACTCGATTCAGCTGTACAAGCTCATAACAAGTACTCGCCAGACAAATCAAGAAATGTATGGAATTAATCAATGGGATTAAAACAGGATCTTAAATCGATAACAGTCGAAATATTTAAATTAATCATTTACAAATACTTAAGATGTACTGTATCATCAATGATGAATAATATTTTAAACATTCATAATTATTAATTATCAAAAAAGTCAACATATACATGAATATGTGATGAATTGGACATGTAAAGTATGTTAAAAATAGATTAAATTGTTCTAAGGTACAAACAGATTGTAAGAGGTACAAAGTCTTGGCTTTATAATAGATCCTATGCCTACAAGCTGGTTTACGATTCTTAATCAATGTCCTATTTTACACGCTAATTATCTGTTATCTAATTTACAATTTGACAAGTATCCTTACATCGACAATCCACCCGGGCAGAATTATGTTGCATCTTTATTACATAGAAAATTAAGTTTGTTTATGATCACTCTTTATTTATACAATTGTTTAAACTATAAAATACAAAGATACTTCACATACCATATTTTAAGATCAGTTTATACTTTAGTTATTCTTATCCCTTCAAATAATAACCTGGTTCCATAATAACATAATAAAATAATAGCTCATTAATTTGGGGTAGGTGTTAATACCTCTTTTCACACTGAATGTTAGATGAATTATAAAACACGTCATAGTTTAAAAAAACCACTCAATTATTTTTTGAAAATACTTGTTTAGAATTGATGTGACCAACTGGGTGCCATGATTAGCTGGAACTCAGTAATTAATTAATTACTCTAGTTAAGTTAAGTTAATGAGTAGGGTAAAGGCTAATCTATATCATCAGGATTATTGTAAGAATTGAAATCTGAAACTCCAAACAGTATATTTTTAGTCTTCAAGACATGGCAAATGTTAATTTTAAATAGGCCTAATGTCGAATAGTTAATTATATGACTTACGTGGTAATGTAGCTATAGAGACCTAGGTGTCAACAAAAAATTAAGCAACAAACATTTCATGATCATTGTTTAAGATGTCAAATAAATAAACAATTTCATTCATGAAATTTCATTTTTTCTCCCACTGATGCACAAACTGATGGAAAATTACTGTTTCTTCTACAGAAATTTCTTGATTCATGATATGAAGAATATCAAGGTGTAATAACAGGTTTTCGGTATTGCAATAAGAGCAGGGGTCACCCAGGGTCACCGTAGCTACACCACTATTTTAATGCAGTACCCGCATGCAGAAGCAACCCAGTAAAACAGACAAACACTTAAATCCAGTTGGCCACTACAAGTATACCACGGAAAAAAATAATCAAAAAACACCAGTGTTGAATTAATCAATGTTAGAAATGATCTCGCTTGACGAAGCCACAAAACAACTAAATGTACTGGTTTGACAAATCTAAACATACAATGCAAACGCGCAAAGCATACCCGGATGTTAACATTTGTATGTGTTAGTGGCGAGACAAGAAGCATACCACATAAACAATACCGAGCGCTCTGAATGTTTGGATGTATTATCAAACCGATGTATTTGGAACGTGTCAAGCCAGGTCATTTGTATTAAGGACTGCAAAATGAGGCGAGGTATATGGGCTACAAAGCATGATATTTGAATGGAAAACATTTGAAAAAAAATTTAAATATATAAAAAAATATTGCTTTTGAAGGGATATTCATTTGATGCATTAAAAAAAAATGAAAAAATAATCAGTGCGTATATAGAGCTGCATGACATCAGCTGATGAAACTGAACTATTAATTTACTGAAAATGTGTATGGGATATATTTTGACATTTGTTACAACTTTACGCTGATAATCAGTTTTCAATAATTAGGCGTTAACACTAACATGCCACCATTGATAGCTGTTGTCTATTAAATTTCTGTGTTCCATTATCTACTTTGGTACAGTATATATGAATATTTAAATAATATAAATTAACAGCGAATTATTGGTTTTAATACAGTGACGGATCAAAATACTTAATTAATTATAAGATCTTAGTAGGTAGATACAGATATATATTGATATAAATAAAATAAAAAATAACAGAATTATAAAATTAAGCTGCTTAGAATTATATATGGTATTTTAGAAGCTATAACTTTTACATGCAAACCTTCACCAACAGAAAAATGCATGAAATAACCATTGTTGATCAAACAAACAACGGTAATCTTACTTGTTCTGTACCAGACAAACAAAGTAAGAATCACTGTTTACAGGCAGCACCAGTAGTGTAAAATGATAAACTGGTTTCATTGTTTGTTTGTACCAATAATGAACATAATATTCTATTAGCTATTGCTATTCAATGCTACAAAAAACGTAGCCCCTGTTTTAGTGTTTATATCTATTTACCGTAGTTATTTTATGTTTCTGATTAAGCATCTGTGAGCCGAGGACACAGACTGAAAGCAGGTTTATGTGTGGCGAAGCATTAGATACTGAAGCCCAACAACTCAAAACATCATTAAGGTGATGAAGGCTAGAATCAAAAATATGACTTCTCTTATCAATCTTACCATAACAGATTAACAGATATTTAATTTCAAATTTTAATAATTTAATATTTAAGATATATCAAGATTTTTAAATGTTTTGGATAATTTCATGCACATAGAAAAGCGCAAGGGTGCAGAAATGGAAATCAATAGCTGGAGACCAAAAAAAAACATCCCGTATTGCCCAAGCTTTACCGACAAAAAATGTTGTGTTGCCAGTTAGCAAAAAATTCTCTCTTATAAAAAAAATGAAATTAGTGATATGACAATAAATTCTAGAAAAAAAATATTGCAGCAGCGACAACCCCAATTTCCAAATGTCACAGCTTGGGCAACTTGACAATTTTTTTTTTTGGCCTGATTAGTGAAATATAAGCTATAATAAGAAACATAAAAAAAGAATATTCTACATGTTAGTACAACTGTAGATAGTGAAGCACAGATAGTTGAAATGATTAATAGATGAAAAGAAGAATTGACCATGATATTTGAAGAAAGATTGTTGTAGTAATAATAACATTTTGAACCACAGAGAAATTCTACGGTAAAAGAGTTTTGTTTTTTTGTCCGATGATACGTGATTATCCTTTAGGTACTCTCGATCTCTAATCTGCGGACCTTCGCACCTCTCCCTGCCATCCTCCGAGTTGCCACTGCGCATGCTCAGAAATACCTATGAATATGCATTAACCACTTTTGCATATTCAAGAAAAAGAGAGGTGCAAAGGTCCACAGTGAAAAACATCAGAAAAAAAATGAATTGAAAAATAGAAAACTAACACAAAAGGAAATTAATGAATGTAAAAAAATACATGAAAAGAAATCACATAAAAATATATTGAAATATGACTGTACAAATACCATTGTAAGAACTGCATATTGTTTACCAGATAATCTTGTGGTATTCCCCACATAAGAGATATTATTGTACAGAGATGGAAAATATTTATTTTTTTAAATGTATCATTTATAAAGATTCTTTTCTTTGTTTCATATCCAACAAAAATAGATTCTGGTATCAATCTAGCAAACATTCTTATTAACAGTATTGTACCAACATTTATTTGTTAGACACAAAACAAGTGACTTTATAACCCAATGAAAACATAATTCTATGGGATAAAATGAAGGTAAAAATGACATAAGACCTAGTTACTCCAAAAATTACAATCAATTTTTAAACAATTCCATGTGGTTTTAACACATAATTGTAATTCTTAATTTTAATTCTGATACACAATTAGATACATTTCTGTTTGTATTTCAAAACATAGACGACAATCGCATGATTTGCTGACAAAGATTTTGAGAAAGTGAAGACAAGTAAGGCAGCTAAAGAATTCTACTCTACATGAGGATACATCTTACTGATGAGTTAATGAGACACCATGCAATGGTTTGGTAATGAACATCATACAGATCTAATAGAAACTACTGCTACAGTCTACCAGACCCATAGCGTGGAGTATGAAGAGGTTTTGCATATTTTGAGAATTGTGTCTGTGGTGTGCACATGTATGCAGTGTGGTTCAGTGTTGAGAGTAGACTACAGTGCATTTGGTGAAAAAGCTGCTTGAAAAATCATCTTTTTCGTTTTGATTCCATGCTAAGGGCCTGAATGCCGTCAATAGGGATAAGATGACAGTGAAATGAGGCTACATGCTTAAGAAGCATAGGGTGAAGTCCAGCTAGGAGCACTTTCTAAAATTTACTTACTTTCTTCACACAAAAAAAGAAAATGAAAGGTGGAAAAAAAAACTGAATAACATTTGTGCACCCAATGTGAAAAATAGTGATGTTAAACAAGTTGTTTCACTGATTTGAGACGGACTGCTTAATTCTTCGGGCTGGTGGCAGAAAAGTCGGAACGTACGCACTGAAAATCTTGTAGACCAACCGACACAATTTTTGTAGAAAAAACGTGGCAGCAACCAGAGTGACAACAGAATGGCAAGTAGATTACAAATAGAATTTCATAAATTTATAAGGATTACTACAATATAACTAAATTTTCTATTACAATGTCACATATCTAATTTCTATAGCTTTTTTTTTTATAATTAATTAGCATCACCAAAATTTTGAATTTGATTTGATTAAAACTTGAAGGGATGGGTTTTGAGGAGAGAGGGAAGGTAGGAAGGGGAGAAGATTATGATTCTAGCATTCATCAAGGAATTTTTAGGATTGAGATTACTTAGGATTAAAAATTTAAAATAAAGAAATTAACTATTTTTAGAACAGAATAAGTAAGTCTTGGTTGAATGAATCCACATAAGAGATCAATTTTCGGTTGATGAATATGTATATTTGTATTGATTAAGTGGAGTAGGAATTGCGTTGTCTATGAGTGTGTGTTTCGTATGGATCAATACTGTACTACCAGAGTACTGCAATTCACAAACATGAGTCCAAATAAACCACTGAGGCTAAAGATAGAGTGTGGCTGAATCTTGATGAAACTGCATCTACTTATAATCACTGATATAAAATTTATCATTTTAGTAGAACCACTACTTGATTCACCAGTAGCCAAAAATTGATTGAACAATTTATCATTACTTTCTTTTTACCAAATTTAAGACGATTATATGGGTAAATTTACCAATACTTTGGTGATTCAATTTAAAATATACCTTATATATCATATTTTTTCAAAATTCTTATTTATTCATATAGATCAGTAAGTACCAGTAGGTACTTCAATTAATTCAAAGCAAATTATACATTATTAAATTTAATTTTCTTTTTAAGTTTCTATATGCTCTTTGCATGGTAATAGGTATGCACTGTGAATTGATTTCAATTGATTTCACACCTACAGTGTAGTATCTTCATACACCATACTATTAACTCTATCTTTATACTACAGA